TGAAAGGTCAATATAATATATATATATATTTGTATAATGTTATGAGATTTATGTTATTTAGTCTACACATTCATGTTTTCATATTATAATTTGTGTTCATTCTAGAATGAAAGATTTATAATTTATACTTACTTCCTAATTTTTTATGGTGGTTATAAAATTGGTCAAATCTACCAATCACGTACAGAGATTAATTACTGAAAATAACAGATATAATATAAAGTTTTTTCTTAAGAAACGATTGATAATTATCTGGACATTATAAAGATTTTGTATGTGAAACTTGAAAATTTTCTGTTACATAAAAGTACTAAGATACTCATTTCCTCCTACAGAAGGTAGCTCATGTGCGAAGGCTTGTCAAGGTGAAGAAGTCCTATTTCACTCCCGAGCAGTATCTTATCCATTTGGGGGTATTTTGCAACATCTACTTCAGTATGGCTCAGTCTTCTCTTCTTAATCTGAGCCAAGTCTTTTTCTTCCTTACCTGCGCATGAGATTCTATCTCATTTGGGGACTTGGGCTTCTATGAATCCCCTCATACCCTGAGGTTCTACACATGTGCATTGTCTTCAGTGGGTGTTGTATGATCAATGGAATCTTGTTCATGATCCCTTGCACTCCACCATCCTCCTCCCTCCTTCCCTATCAGTCCACTTTTTCTGGTGGCTAGACAGAGACAACACCTTGGCTCGTGTTCCTCTCCCTGTCCTGATTTGCACCTTTTTACAGATTCTCCTCATACAGGGTGAGGGATATGGAGTATATCTGGATTCTCAGGTGATATCCAGTCATTGAACAGTTGTCAAATCTTCCCTCCTTGTCAAATTTTTGGAACTTCTTGCAGTTCGTCATGCCTTGTATTATTTCCTACCTTTATCTCTTCATAAATTTACAATGGGGCTCCCGTTCACTTTGCTTTCAAATGCTGGTTCTCTTTTCTGAGACCAGTCTTAGTCAAAGTCACTCCATGTTGAGTTCTTCTAATTGCCACATTCTGGCCTGCTTGACTGTGTTTTCCGATTCTGATCCTTCTTCAATTCTGCCCTCTTGTACTTTTTCTGCTTTCCTGATCTTTTCTATGTCAACTTCAGTCCATTATATTTCATTCCGCTTTTACCACACTCTGGCTTCATGCATGGATTTTGGCTGGACCCAAGTGGGATGATGTGGACTCTCTTTGCAGGTTACTACCCCTCTTTATTGCTCAGTCATTTGTGTTTCCAAGAGGAAATGTGGCATTTTCATGAGGTTGTCTTTGCATCATGGTTTCTCACCTTCCCAACCTAGTGTTTTCCACCATTTCAATTTCTTTACTTGGCTTTTCAGCAACAGTTTATCAGTTTCCACTGTTTTGGGCTTTAGGGCAGTCTTGTCTAATACCTTCAATTTCTTCAACTCTCGTTGCATTTTTTCCTCTCCTGTTTTGTTCCTTTTGCCTGATTCATCTGCTCTGTCTAATTCCCCTAACTGATTGGAATTTTACTGTGGTCCTTCATGCCCTTACCCTTCTTCCCTTTGAACCTTTGGTCACTTGCTAATTGTACCACTTTTCCCTCAAGATGTATTTCTTACTCCTCTTTGCATGTGGTCGTCATAAGTTAGATATCTTTGCTATTGACATCATATGTATCCTCTGTCAACATATCTATGTTCTCGTTTATCCAGATTGTAGGTTTTTTCCCCAAGATGTCAGCAGTGCATTAAGAGGACATCACTTTCACTCCTATTTCCCTCCCCTCCATCTCTCATTTGTATTCCCATTCCAATCCCGATCCTCTTCTTTGTTCAATATGTGCTCTGCTTTGTGATGTTGCCCCCACTGCTTCCTTCCATGGATCCTGTTCTTATCTTTTTATACCAGGAATACTTCCTATCACCCTCACCAGATATTTTTGCCACCTTAATCTTCTTGCTTATGTGTCATTATTCAAGGGTTCTTATTGCATTTTCCAAGTTTTCTCTCACTGGAGATGTCATATCACCTTTTCCCTGGCTGACCAATTCCATCTTCCATTAAAATAGTGACCAATTCCACTAAGTCAAGAGTAATGTGGTGGTGTTCTGTTGGTGTAGATGGTGAGTACTCTCCTACAATGGACCAGAAGAAATATTCCAGATTTCTCCTGGTTTTGAACTGAAGTTGACAAATAAATTTTTATGTAAAGTTTGAAAGTAGAATAACTTGACCATCATTTATTGTGTGTATGTATGTATGTATGTATGTGTTTCAAACATTATTGCCTCAAAACGTTGTAAATCTCATGTCACTGATACCAAACTAACTTAATTTGGTTTGATTCTGAATAAAATACAATTCAGTATTTAGTCTGTCGCTAAAAATGTTGAGAAAATAAAAGACAAGAAATGCTTACCTAAAATGTATGTAATATCAAAAATCACTAAAATTATCAAACTTGTTGTTTGACACTCATGACATTATATATATGTATTTGAACAAATTAAATACATCAACATTTGCAGCATTAAATTTTGGTAGTTGAGGGTATTTTATTGGAGCTTTCATAGAGCAAGTGAAATGAATAAGTCTTTGATAAGAGAGCAAAAAGGTCACAGCAAACAAAAAATTTAACATAGTGAATTTTTATATTGAATTTACCAATGTAGGCTAAAACTTACAATTAACAACAAAAATTAATGAAAGCTTGTAACAATTTGCTTCATGTTCTTTAAGATCAAGCAGTACATCTTAACCAAATATGTATTACCTGTATTATTTAGTGATAGGTGAGATGAGATACATATAGTATTTTATCGATGATCTGCTTAAAAATGCATGATATTCAATTGCATTTAAACAATGAATTTGTACATTTTTTCTTCAAGTGAAAATACTTAATGATATGTACCAAAGATTCTTCATATATACCATTGTTGTTAAATCATAAGCAAAAAGAAATTAAATTAATGGGCATTTGGTATTTTGAACCAAAACTATTTTTTTTTTTTTTGGGGTAAAATTTTCTAAAAAATTCACTTCTCATTCAATTGCGGTTTTGTTTGTATCAAGTTCTTATCAGACATACATGCTGCTTTATTATGTGAATGCTAAATTGGTAATTATACTATTGATTTCAATGTGAAATGTAAAATGGAAATGTTTTTGGAGGATGGTTCATGTTTTTTCATAATGATTAAACTAAACCCAAATATTTTTATGAAACATACCATAAGTAAATAAAACAAATGATAATACAAGCTCCTGAGCTGTATAAATATCAGTTTATTTTCATGTATGACGGATAATGCTGTAGTAATACGATGTTTTTGGTCATTTGCTGGGAATTTTTTGTTGTCTTTCAAGATTTGTAATGTATACTGGAGAGATTTACACATTTCTAAAGTAAAGTTAGAAAAAAAAAAATTTATATTTCAGATAATTATAAAAAAGCTTTTTATTCTAATAACCACAATTCATCTTTGGAGCTTCGTCAGGGTTAGTACATACAACTGTTTCAAAAAGAAACATTTAAATAATTCTAAATCCTCGATTTTCTTTGTTACTGACGCTTCTGAGCTTTGGTTTTTCCACTTCAGAATTTCATAACTTCAAAAACAGATTGCTGCAGTTTTCAACTAATCAGAAACATAATCTATAAATAAGTGTAAGCAGGAATCTAAAATATACACCTTTTATCTTTTTCATTTGCTGAAATATCAATAAATTTGTTAAACCAATTAGAAAAGGCCTGTCTCCTTTCTCTCTGACGTTTTGAGATTGTTTGCTAATCAACTTTACGTGGCTGATGGATAAGTTTATAACCTATAGAAAGAACAGGTTCTCCTCTATAAGAAGCTTACTACTATTGTTATAAATATCTTTGTGTGTGATCATTGTACAGCTGCTCCAAACAACTAACAAAACATTTTTCTTTACCTATTTATAGCTTACTTAGAAAGCTTGATAAATTATAGTGGTCTTAGGACATTCTGTTCTCGTGACAGACAAATTTTGTGTTCTAAAATGCATATTTGAAAACCACATGAATTAATTTTTGGACACAAACAGGTGTTTACAGTGGGGTTCTCTGGTATTGGATGCATTTGCCACCCATGTACATTACAAACTTTCCAGGTTTTGGTCTTCTATGTCATGCTCTACCCAGATCGGTCTTTTTCTGTATATAACATCAACTGCACATGAGAGCATTTTTTCCTTCACTCTTTTTCCCTCTCTTCCTTTTCTAATTTTTATGTTATCTTGATGTGTGATAACATGCGAAAACTCTCCACCATTAGTAACACGACATAACTCCCAGCACTTTCTCTATGCAGCTTAGCCCAAAACTATTTCTCGACTGGCACTCATGATGGTAAGATGTTTTTTGCTCATGATTTGCTGTACAGAATTTTTAATCAATTTTTATTTACGTTTGCTACATTTCTGTTCTGAAATATTAGTTTGTACATGGCCACATTATGTCAATACATGATTCTTTGGAGCTCTCTGTTTGTACTTTACTCCTTCCGCTCTTAGTTGAAATGTTTTGTTTTTTTATGTCACTACAGCAACCATTGATGTTTCTACTACAGTTAACCTTACTAAAAAAATTGACTACCATGGCTTCAGGTCCACAATTGTTGGCAGGAGATGTTACGGCTTTGATTCACCAGGAATTGGCTGCCTTAAACCAGGCTCCTGTTTCACCTGCGGATTCTTTTCTCATGCAAGGATGTGGATTTTGACAGCCTGTTTCCTTATTATATTTTGTCTTCCCCTTCTCTTTTGAGTAAGGCACATTTAGGCTAATATCTTATTCTCCCCCCTGCACCGGATATTGGGGTTCAATGGGCTTTACAAGGTAATTGGAACCTTGTTTGGGATCCCTTGGGCACTCCTATCCATCACTCTCCTTCCCTTCATGTGAACTTCACTTGGTGGTTAAACTGAAATCACACCACAGTGGGTGATCTTCTTCTTCCTCCTTGTCTGGAAGTTCACTTCTTCATGGATACTTCTCTTTAGGTTGGGGTGCATTGTTGGATATGCAGGAGATTTTGGACCTTGTGTCTATGGTGGAGCCATTTCTGCATATCAGTCTCTTGGAACTGTTCCCTGTCTGTTGGGCATTGGTTCCCTTCCATCTCTTTCGAACTGGTTGGTTATGATCCATTCCAACAACTCAACAGTTGTCTTGTACACCACTTGGCAAAGGGGGCACTTGGTCAAGGTCTCTTTGTTTCCACCTGTTGGACCTCCTGTTTTGGGTCCACAGCCATCACATTTGATTGTTGACAAATCATATACCAGCTGTCCTGAATCTGTTTGTAGATCATTTATTGTACCCTGACAAGATTTTCCCCACAGAGTGGCATCTTGACCCATAGGTGTTTGGCTGGCTGTGTTTACAGTGGGGTTCTCTGATGTTGGATGCATTTGCCACCCACCTACATTACAAACTTCCAAGGTTTGGTTCTCAATTTCACATCATTTGGCTGTAGCTATCAATGCCCTCAATCAGGATTTGGGAGGGGGGGGGGATTACCTCTATGCCTATCCACCCATCCATCTTCTTCTTTGTGTCCTCTCAGTAATAGAGTGGCTTGAAGGCTTGAATAGCACCACTTTGGCCAGCACTGCACATGGTTTTTGTCCAGTCCCTTGTCAAATGAGTTAGATTTTCCTTGCAGGTTGTTACCCTGACTTCCCATTCCATTCACCTTTCTTCCATGTCATAAATGGTATGTCTACTGCCACTGGGCTTCTCGTCTTGATTTTCCACCTTCTCGTTCTACTCTCCAGCACCTGTCTTCCTTCCTTACCTGGTTTTTTGACAAGGGGCTTTTGGTATCCACCATTGCTGGTTATTGTGTGGATTTGCTCTCCATTTCCATTCCATCTTATTGTTTTTGTTCTTTCTGCCTTTGCTGTCCCCATGTCCTACCATCCTCCCTGCTTGGAAACTCATTGTTGTCATCCATGCCTTTACACTTCCTTCCTTCAAGCCTATGTCATCCTTTCTTTATATCATCTCTCCTGACAGACCTTTTTTTCTCCTCCTTTTATTTAAAGTGTGTACATTGATGTTTGGGTTTTTTACTCTCAATGTCTCTCACAAGTTATCTCACAGGATCTATGTCATGCTCTACCCAGATCAGTCTTTTTCTGTACAGAACATCAATTGCATGTGAGGGCATTTTTCCTTCACTCTTTTTCCCTCTCTTCCTTTTCTAATCTTTATTATCGTTCTGATCTGGATTGCCATGATGCTTCTCCTGTTATCCTTACTGGTTGGATTTGTTAGTTTATTCTTCCCTGTCTCCCGATGATGGTCACCTATTTCAAGTTTCCTCCCATCCAATCCCTCACCTTATCATGTCCCTGGCTGCTTGATTTTGTTGTCCTTTGGAGAATATAGCTCATGTCGGTATGTGGACCACTCCCCATGCATTTATTTTACATTTTCTTCATCATGTGTCCATTTCCTGCTCTGCAGGTTACTGTTTACCTCTTGTCGCCATTTTGAGCTCCATGGTTTCTCTATGACTGAGTAAGTGCTCTTTTTCTTTTTTACTGGGATATTTCTTGCAAGTATGAATCCTGCTTAGTGGAGAGAGTTGCCTAACAAGATATATTTATTCTTAAAACCACACTGTACAACTATTCAGGTTAATGATGGCAACCATAGAGATGGGGTGTTCCACAAGACCACTTGTAGGTTTTCCTCACTGTGTTTTGCATCATAAGTATGTTTACCCTGGACAGTACACATGTGTAAAGCAGTAGAAGATTGCTGCTCCTTCATCTGATTGAATCAGGAACAGTTTGCTTTTCAAAATAGGGTTTTGCAGTCACCCATTGCACTGTCTCTGGTTCTCAGTTCCTTCGAACTCTCCCACATTATTTTCCCCTTTACTGCCATAGAGTATAGGAGTCCTTAACACTTACCAACTCCTAGACACTGGGGTGGTGGACCATGGAGGTTTCTTCTGGAGTGTGCTCAGTTCCACTTGGTTGAGAGTAGGGTGGTGGTGTTCTGCTTGTGTGGATGGTGTATAGACACTCCTCCTACTGTGAACCTGATGTACTATTCCAGATACCGCCTGGTTATGGACAAGACAATTTCAGCCAAAATGAGGTTCATCCCTCCAGCTGGGCATCTTCCTTCCTACCATCGTCTGGATGTTGGTTCCTGAGGGATACTGATGTTAGTTGTGTTGGACATGCACACATGATGATGTGAGTACTTGGAATGGAAGATTTTCCCCATCCAGTTCCCATATCTGAGGTGAATGGTAGAAAACTCTTTTCCTACCATAGACTGGATATTCCTATTACAGTTCTGTTGGTTGTGGTTGAACTCACTCTTACGTTCTTCCATGACCTAGACACTACACCTAGGGTCTCTTCTATGTTTCCCCCTTATTGCGACACATCATTTTGAAGGGCGAAGAGTATACCTGGCTCAGAAGTGATGCAGTCTCCCATGTGTGTGTGTGTTTTACACACTCTTTATTCACACACCACATGGGCTTCCTTTGGGTTCTTTCTGAAGGGGGCTTATCTAGGTAATGTTACACTAGTCTCTCCACCAGGTCAATTTGGGATTCTAGCTATTTTGTGATAAGAGGTAAGATATCGTATTGGAAGTTAACATTTTCCTACACTGAAAATGTATTTTCAATGGATTCTTATCTCTTCTCACATTTCCCATTTTTCCTCCCCACTTCTGGTGTCTTTTCTACTTTATTTGCTCAATATGATTTTGAGCTGAACTGCATAAAGGGCTGTGCTGGGAGTTGTGTCTTGCTCCTATTGATGGAGGGTTGTCGCATGCTCATTTGCATGCTAGCACACAGTTGCCTCACTTAGGAGTATCAAAGCTAGTGGTGAGCAAAAATTTGTGCATATAGAAGGTAGTACAAGTCAAGAAAAGCTATTCTGTGAGCAGAATTAAGAATATATTAGAAATACATTTTCAGTGTAGGAAAATATTAACTTTGGATTTTCAGTTTTACTTAGGTAACAGTTTCATAAAATCATCAATAATAACACTTAAAAGTCTAATAAACTTGTTTGTGTATATAATATTTTTGTTTTAATTTTAGGTATTTGGTTTCTTGAGTTCACTGGCATCTATGTTGTTAGCTGTTGTGCAGTTTTGTGGACAGGGGGAAGAAAGCCCAGTTGTACCACAATTTTCTCAGCATGGTGAGGAATTTGGATTATCTCAACTCACTCCAACCCAATGATCTATCTTTAAAGGACAAAAATAACAATTGATGGTGTAAGTATTTTAAATGAAAGCTATATAATTGAGTACCTACCATCAACCATTTATGAAGTTCTGTCTCTTTTAGTGTTTTTTAATGTATATGTTTTGGATCATTTGTTATTGTTTATTGTGTTCGTATCTGTATATTTAAAATTTTTTATGCTAATGGGATTTACTGATTCATAACAAACAACCCACCATTTTGTACATTTTCTTTTTTTTCACATTTTGGCTTATTTGGTATTAAATGTTTTTTTATAGTTTGCTTGTATTTGTAGCTTTTCGGTATTCTGTCCAGCTAATAGGAAACAAGTCAAGAAAATATGTTTCAGATTACAGCTCAGAGTAATTTTATTTTTGAGTTAATAGATTACCTTAGGTTTTGATTTGATAGTATGCAGTTTGATGCACATTCAGCTGATACATATGACAGCAGGAGTTGATGAAGTGTGATAAGTCATTCATGTTGAAATAGATGTTCAAAAGTTTTCGTATCTAATTAGCAGAGACAAGGTCAGTTTTCACACCATTCAAGGGTTTATGATACTATTACTCTATTATTGATTGTAACTTGTACACATTTTAAAACTTTCAGGAACTTTCATGTAATTATAGCCAATGTGAGATATTGTAAATGTGATTTAAAAAGACAAACTATACAGTATTTTATTTTTCAGTTAAAGGGAAGTTTTATGCAGTTAATTAAAATAGTCATTCTGTTACAACTTATCAGGGCATTGAACTATGATACTGTTGCTTGATGTAGTAATCTTTTGACTAGCATAACACAGCTGTTAAGAACTGCCAAAATACAGTAATTTGAACAATAAGAAAAGGGTACATTACATTCACTGTTTTATATTTATCATACAAAATAGACCCACACATGTCTAACTTGGTGGAATGGGAAGGCATACAGCCAAGTGACTGTCATGGTAGTATAACCACTTTTTCTTCCTTTCTCTTGCTTTAATTCTTTCTATCTCCATTTCACATGGTTCATGCTTCCAGAGGTGATATAATGTGGTTTTAAATGGTAAAAAATAGAATGTAAGAAAATGAAAAGGGCATAGATGAAGCTAAATTGTTAGGTGTCTACATATTAGTGACATATTACACAACGAACTGCTACTCTTCTCTGAATAAGTTGTTTCACGTATGTGTAGGCAAGCTTATAAAAGTTACATGATCTGTAACAGTTCACCATACATTTTAGAAAAAACACATGTAATAAGTTTATCAAGTTACAGATTAAAACCATAAATTCTCTATATTGTATATAAAATCTCAACCTTATTTGTTGTAAGAATCAATTTGATGTACCTTCTAATAAAATAAAAAGGTATGTGTAATCAAGTGATATACAGCTGGTAAAATAAATTTACAAAAGTGCATTGCAAACTAGCTCAATATAATAAAAATACTGCACATGTAGCAATCAATATGTCAAACACTTCAATTAAAATATATCTTGAAAAAAGGAATTATTTGGTCTGACTATTCCCTAGAAATGGATAATGCATTAGCATTCATGTTCATGGAGCCCTGTTTATTTAATCTCTAGAACATAATTCTGAAAGCTGAATTTTCACTGAGCCAGAGTTTTTGTTTTTATAGATAGAAGCACCACCATATTCTGATTTAATTACAGTGTGCTGATTTTATAAGTCATTTCAAAACTTTCACTAAATTCGTATTTCTGTCAAAGAATAATGCATTTCGTGGGGAAGTAACTTTTTAACTACCTAAGCATCTACCTTTTCTTTGATTGTCAAACTAAGCAAATATATATCTCAGATGTCTTTCCCTAACATCAGCTTAAAAATATACCCTTGATGAAGGTCTGGTATGATTAAGACTGAATGACTTGTTAGGACATTATTCAGTGTTAGATATACACAACTGTTTCAATTTAAGTTTGATGCGAGTGTTAAATTCACTTATTTTTAGAAGTGATTGTTCATTGCAAGTTTGTTTATGTAACTGTGTATTAATCCTATGTTGTGCAGTTTAATTGTTGTGAATTGGCACTTATTGTATTTTTGTATCATGTTACTAGAACCTTCTAAGTTTTTGTTGTTGTTTTGATTGAGTATATATTGCATCATAATGTCTTGTAGAGTATAGAACATTCTAGGCTTCTGTCAGTCTATAAATATGTTTACAAAATGTAGCTCAAGTAGTAAGACAAAGTTAGTTAGATCTAGACTGTATGATTGTGAGTTTAGCAATAAAGGGCTTATAGTGGCAGTTTTTTTTTTGAAGTGAAATTATCACAGATTGTATTTTAACAACAGAGTGGAGAAGAATAATTTCTCTTGTCAAAGGTTGTTCTAAAGTAATTGGAGAAACCTGTGTAGACTTTGATGAAAAGAGACAATTATTTAAAGCTCTGAATACAACTGTGGTAACCAACAGTGTAACAAACATTTACATTTGACTTGTTTTAATATTTTAAAACAAGTGGATTGTGTGCTGTTTGTTACATTCACAGTGATTGATGGTTGTGAATCTGCTTGAACATTGGTAAGTTTAATACCTTCAATTATTTCTAAGCCTAAGCTCCTGTTTCTCTGTTGAACGTTTTAAGCACCTTGTCTTTATCTCAGCATATGACTCCCAAGATTTTCCAAATTAACAGTTCTTGTTGTATGTATATTTTGGAACAGAATGAATCCAATATGCTAGTATAAAACAAAGGTGATTCTTTAAATACCTTGTTTTGGCTATCGAATTTGCTCTATAGGATGACATTACTTTCTATTTCATTATGCCTACAAGACAGAGCAGAAGCAAATTATTGTTTGGTTCTGTCAGTCACATTATTACTTCATTGTTTACATCTGTAGCACATGCACATACTATCTATAGGAGCTGGCTCTAATCCGCTTACTTATTTTACATTCACAGTTATTTATGCTAGTTTGTTTATGTGCTAAATTTATATGAATTATATCCATCGAAGCATGAACAGTATGCCCATTTATAATAACACAAGGACAAAACTATAAAATGGTTGCAACTAGAACACACTAAATATCAGTATTATTTTTCCATCATGGGGATTATCAGGAGTGTTTTTACATGTGTTACAGAAGTCACTTGTTTAGAATCAAACAAGGTTTATACTCTCAACATTACCTTTCCAGAGGGTTGCAGTATTAGTGATTGATGTGCCACATATAACAATGTCTTCTTGACTTACTAGGAGTTATTTCAGAAGTTTATCTTCTTGGTGAAAGTTGCAATGGTTGTGTCTGTTTATTCATTTATAATTATATGTCTTTGTGAATATTGATTTGAATACTGACTGAGTATCATAGTGACTTAGAGTGCAACATGGGTGGTACATTTAATGTTTGAGGTTGTATACTTTAATAGGGTTCTTCTTATAACAAATACAATCTAAAAAAATGGCTGTTGGTATGGATGACAAAATCTGATGTTGTATTTTATATGAAAAAAAAAAAAAGGTTTTACTCACTACAATTAAATTCCATTTCCTTTAGAAATAATCTCCTGCATATTATTTATGATATGCAGTAGGCTTTAGTGCCAATGTTTACAATTAATTCAAATAAAATACATTATTTAGAAAACACTTTGACTATGGACACTGCAAGTGTTCAGAAAGAAACAAATTCTCAAAGCTGTCAAAGAAAAAGGAAGGTGTGGAAGTTAGTAGTTCAGTGGAAGAGACTGAACCAGGGTAGAGGATATTTATTTACTCTTTGCCTACAGAAATCCATTTATTTTTTAACTTTTTAAAAGCTACAGGAAATTATTCTTATAATTTTAAAAAATTACGCCACTCTTTTTTGTTTCCAGTATTTTGCTTATGAAAGTTTGGGTGTTTTCTTTAAAAAAGAAAAAAGACAGTATTTATATGCATTGTTATAGCCTGCTATTTCAATTTGATAATTTTCAACATGAGCATACTATCATGATATTGTGTTCTTTCTATATCTGTTCTTATGTCCTATGTTCCAATTCATGGTATTTGCAGCTTCTTCTATAAAAAAGTCTTAAACAAGGTCCCATAGGCAAAATTTATTAAACTGAAAAAAATAAAGGAAAAAAGCACTTCAGTGTCAATGACAAACTTTATTTACAATATACACTGCATGTGTGGAAAAGAGCATGTTAACGTTCAATGAAAAACTTCATATTTTATCTGTTATTTTCTTTACCCTAACTCTATATGAGGTCCGTTGATTTAACTAACCTTGTAACCACCATAAAAAATTAGGAAAAAATTATAAATTCCCCTATTTTCTTTCTTTCTGGAATGACTGCAAATTGTAACAGAAAACCACAATTGTTTATCCTAAGTAGCTTAAATATTGTAACAGTATACATCTATTTATATACATTTTGTTTTATTGCCTTTTGAACCATGTCTAACTATTATTTGTGCCACATAAATTGTACATAACATTGCAAACTTACAGCTCCCACTACAGTATTGAATTACATAACACATAGAATACACGCAAGCGTACGTCATAAAAAAATTTTATTATTATTATTTATTTTACTTTAGCTACTTTATTATTTGTTTTACCTTAGCTACTTTAGTTACTTTTGTAATAATAAATAAAGAATACTCATGAAAACAAGAAATAAAGTACTTACCTGGGTCTTGACTGTCGATGAAACTTAACCCTACTTTTGTATACTAGTTGTACTACTGCATTAAATAATGCACCAAAAAACACAGAATAATAACATTAAAAAAGGAAATAATGTTGCATAACTATTACAATTTTTCTGGCTTTCTAACTGTGTGACAAAAGCCATTAAAAATTCAACTAAGCTCGTCGATGTGTTTCCCATGTGAATAAAGTTTGAACTGGAAAGAAAATATACACATATCTCTACAGACAGCAATGTAATATAATACATCATTTGTTAGAGAAATACTTTGGATTTTTATTGGTTATAAATAATATAGTTTTAACTGTCAGAGAGAACTATTGGCAAGTTCTGAAAGAGGGGATGTGACAGATGGATGTGGCAATAGAGGTCTGATTTTCTATTTTATTTCTCTGTAACTAAATAAGATTGAAGGCTATGTAAATTATGCTTTGCATGAGTGATGAAAATATTATAATGAGTAATTTACATTAAATTTCATCCTTCTCAGAACGGTGGTAAAAAGAATTATAGAAGTGAGAAGACATAGATAACAAACATCACAGTTCTTATACTAGGGAAGGTTGAGAATTTTTTAAATATTTTAAAACTTAAATAATACAAAACTTTGATTTATTACCTATGTTCTGATGATGAGTTTATTCATATAAACTGAAAATAAAGTAGTATGATTCAATTTTGAAAGTAATTCTGTGAAAGGTTGTGACATGTGCACTTCGACCTGTCTGAAGTGAAAGGGTTAAACATGTGGTACTTTCAAGAGGCATCATTTTTGTGCAATTTATTGTCATTGATGAAACCTGTTAGAAGTTGATTGTGAACAGCTGTGTGCAAACTGTATGCTGTTTAGTTTGTTATGGTACAAAGTTTGAAGCAAAGTACTTGTGCTTGCCTTCCATGTGGGACATTTTATGGTGCATATTCAGTTCCCAGGGGGGCAAACCGCATGCATCCCAACAAATTCTCATGTGTACAGAACCCTGGAGTTTGGGTTAACTAGGACCCTGGGGTTGTATATAATTTCTTCTGTCATTTTCCCCATATTTCTGTATTTTAAATATTGAAACCACTTTGAGAGGTATTTATTTTAAGCATCTTAACATTGTTTATATTTCAATCCTGCAGGTTGTTTGCATATGTAACTTGTTGTACAGATTTTTACAGCAGATTCAAGAAGGGAAAACCAAACCAGTATACATATACTGTAGGTCAACTAGTATGAGGTGTATGCTAACAAACATCTTTCACTCAAGCAGTCTTAAATTTTATATATTCGTCTAAAACCTTTCTGAGGAATCATTATTTTTTTGTGCATGTCTGTACCTATTTTATACTTCTGAGTCCTGGGTGTATCACAAAGAAAAGTAGAAACATTCGTTTTTTAATTCACCTATTAGAAGTTCAAGATAACGTTGTTTCAATGTGTCACAAAGTTAATTTATGGCTTCTGTGAAAAAAGAATGCAAGCAGTTTTCTAATTTTTGTACATCACATCTAAAATTCGTTACTTTTCCTCACTTCTATCAACTCTACATTGCAACTACTTCTCCTGTATTATTATATTTCAGTGTAAATATATTACACAAAGACATTCACATCTAAGCAATTAATACTGGTCTGGTTAGAAAATATTCTAATGATACTATTGCTTATATTATGATGTAATGATGTATACAAACTGAAGCGACGTACATTATGACCTAAAATCCATAGTAAAATAATAATAGATACGAAGTATAGATTTGATTAATTTTATCTATCAAACACTAAGCAGCTTTTGACGTGAAAGATAAAATAAGTATTATTTTTATATTTATTTTACTTTTGAAAATTTAAAATCAAAAACTGAACTGTCTTAGAAACCACAGACATTCTGACTGAAGCTTTGACATTTAATAATCAGTGTACAGGTAGAGTGTATGATTTCTTAACTTAGGCGATAACAGTTGAAATAAATACATGTCTTTTCCCTTATTGTAGCTTTTTGTCTTGCAGTGATGATGGTGAAGAGGATACTTTTCTGAGTTTAAAGTTTCTGTCATATGACTTGTAGTCCAATAAAAGTGATGTTGAGTGGACCTCAGTATCATCTACGTGGTTTTTATTGGAGGTCCTTTACATGTAATTGTACATTTGTCTATACTAAATGTATACAAATCACATTTATACCTGATAAGCTTGTATACCTTTTTATTTAAGTTATGTTTAGAATGTCACATCTTAGATAAAGTTTTTGTGTAATTTGTTTTCTTTAAGTAAAATTTGTTAACTTGCATGAAATCTGAGAATGAATGGGATTGAGAGTTTATCCTTACTAACCATAGAGTAATGTACCTGGATAGCATAGTTCTGAATCCCATTCACTCTCATTTATTGTACTTCATGTGCATTTCCTTACAAAAGTCATGTATATTGTAGAGAATTGTTGATGGTGACACGCCAACCAGTGTAGCATTTGTTATATGTTAAATAAGAATTATATTAGAACTTGTATCCTTGTTTAAGATGCAGCATATGTTAGAGAAGACTTTATCTGTGCAATTTGTTTTTGATAGGTAAATATGTATTAATTGTGAAGTATAGTGATTTTCTAAGAGCTTCTTTGTTTTTTTTCCAGAAAATTGTAGTTTTACACATGTATATGTATAAATTATTCATTATACTTGTAAGTCTTTAAATAATAGTCAATCCCAGAAACTGCTTGTTTTGGTAAACCTTGATTTTGAAAGCTTTATTGTTTATTTTATTTCTATCATGATTGTTTAATTTGATGTAGTATAATTGTATATATTGCTTCATTTCCTCTTTAAGATAATTGCAAAATAGACATTTACACCTTTAAACATTCATGTGTTATTAGATGCTAGACTAGAAAAGTTGTGTACAATTAGGAATACTCATACTTTAGTACAATAAACTTTTTCAAAGTTGTGTATAACAAGTTAAAACTGGCTTATTTTAAGTACATCAATTGTGTTTGTTTTGATTGCTTACAGCTACTCTAAGTATGTTAATTAAGCATATTTTCATTAATTAGAAAATAATTTAGTAGAATTATTTTGTAAATTTTCTGTACAGTTACATCACACTTGAACAAACTTTTTTTCCACACTGAGCTTGAATGTTAGTAATTTAAATATCATATGACTAGATGGAATTTATAAAATCAAATCTTTTTTTCTGATGAAACAGGAAGGCAAATATTTTTTCAGATTTTTTATTTTATAAGCTTAAATGAAACATGCAAGAGAAATAATACACAGTAAATGCAGTTTTAATATTAAGTCTTTTGAATGGCCAATTTACTTTCAGACTTATGCATGTACCTACCCCCCATCATGGGGTCACTGTGACCCCATACTGCCTGGTGTTAATTATTGAAAACTTAACACTGGCATTCTAGGATGAAGTCTTCACCCAAATTTTATACTATTGTTACGATTAGTAAATTTTTAAAAACCTCTGTGTTCACTTCTAACTAAAACTTTGATATTGTATGATAATCATGAATCAAGTTTCTGCAAAATTATAGAACTAGAATACAATTTCAGCTCTTCCCCCTCCCCACTTATAAAGGTAAGAATTTGTTGAACTATGAGTTTTAAATGTGAAGTTCAGTAAAGTAAGATACATTCTTTTTAGAAAGATTCAGAAAATAATACTATGCTAAGTTGTAATTTAGAACTGGATAAATTCCTGTCTGTTTAATGATGTAGACACAACAGTTTAAAACTGAATTAATTATGACCAACTTGTTACACTCATGACTTGTTGATGAGACTATATTTGCAGACATTTAAGTGAGTAAGTTAATTTCTTTACTTATAGCATTATGTGACACACAGCTAGTATTCAAAGTTGAAGGACACAGTTTAACCTTAGTGTATTATAAGGTGTATAAAATATTATGATTTTTTTTCCCAAACCTTTTAATTCATTAGCATAAAATTATAAGTGTGGACATATAGTGTTAAGATATAAAAACAGAACAACATATCATGCTTGGTGCCTTCTGATATGCTAAAATTATATGAAGAGAAACTAGTACATGTTGACATAAATTTATTGTGTTGTTCTTAACTTTATATTAATTGAAACATTCTACTAAAGAGTGTGTTCCAAGTTGGAGCATTTACATTGTGGGGAACTAGCACAAACATAACTTTTTGCTGGCCCACAGAAGGCATTTTGAATGTGACTCGATAGGAGTGACATCACTACAGCATGCTGTAGTTTTTATATGAACTCACTGTACTTTAAAATTACTTGTACTGTATTTCGATAAGAAATTTATAAAAACCCTTACTTTAGTCCCGTGCATAGCTCTCTTGTTTAGCTCTGCCAAGGGACTAATGCTCCATTGTAGCTGTACCACAAGACCAGTACACTGCAAGTTTACACATCTATTTGTTTTGATTAGATAAATTATATGTATATTTTAACAAGAAAAAAGTGTCAAGCCATGGCCACATCAGCTGTACCACTTCCTGTGCTCATATTTTGTATGACTTAATAACACTTTACTCATAGCAAAAGTTAATTTAAATAATCTTGATATATTTCACAAAATTTAAAGTATTGGCCCACAACCCTCCTTAGTGACAAGCAAACGCAACTGGAATCACATTTTTTCTAGCACTTTTCAAATAAGAGTGTAAGTATTTTGAGTATAAATATGCTTGATCTATTTCATAGGTAATGAATAGGAAATTTCACTTTACAGTATGTCCTTAGAACTTTAAAACTCTTAAAAGAGCAAAAAAATCTATAATTAATAATATAATAGGGAACAGTATAAAAAAAATTGAAGTTACAGAAGGAAAGGATTAAAATTTTTACAGGTAATTTTTTGTATGTTATATATTGATTTGAATATTTATATTTTACTTATTAAATATGTACAAGTGAAAGCTGTAATGAATTAAGTGCAAAGTTATGAATAAGGAAAAACTTTAAAGTTGAAATTACAGTGAAATGTATATATGTATTCAAGTTTTTCAGAGTAAGTTTGTTTGTTATTTTCTGAGTAATGTTCTTTTGTTATTTAAATGTAATTTAATGTCATTGTCTTGTTATTTATATGTAATTTGGTGTCACGGAAAGAAAAATACTGTCAAAAACAGCATTCTTATACTATAACTATAATTCACGTTCTCTCATTATTTATATGTAATTTGGTGTCACAGAAAGAAAAATACTGTCAAAAACAGCATTCTTATACTATAACTATAATTCACCAGTTTTAATTTCTAGCCATTTACACCTAGTGAGAGGTTGTATATCAAGTAACAAATCCAACCTAAAGTAGTGGTTTGAAACAAAAGATGAACAGTATTTCCCCTAACTAGCAAACTGTAGATTCATTATTCCATTCAGACTTTCAACAAAATTATACCATAGATGAACTGTACTCCGAGTTATTGCAGTATAGTGATATCTCTGGGATTGAGCCAAAACATTTTCTCATTGAAAGTTATTCTTCATGAATATTGACCTTGAAATGATAAGTTTTGTTGCTAGCTAAGTTATTTATCTCTTCAGGTTTCATCATCATCACCCAATGTTAAGAACTAAACAAAATGAAACTAACTTTACTTTTGGCAATAGATATATTACTCTGAGAAATTATATTGCTTGTGATAATTTTCTCTATAAATGTGTGGCTTGACGTATCCTAGGGCTTAGTTTACTGTGAATTCAATGATTCATGCTTCGTGACCTGTTGCCACAAAAGAGCACTTTGGGGCTGAGGGTGAGCTATATGAGTCACAGTCAAATCCCACTATTCAATGAAATCAGATAAGAATAGCCCAAGAACTGGTGAGGAGTGTTGTTGACTATCTACCTTCCTTCCAGTCTGTCAATTCAGAATTGGAGATGGATATTGCACAGATAGCCCTTGTGTAGTTTTGCACAAAAATTCTGAAACAAACAACTGGAAATATACAAGAAATTTTTGTATGTCTTTCTTTAAATCTTACAACTTTAAATCATCATATTATTCCATCAAAACGTGTTTGGTTGGTAACTTGTAAATAGAGGAAATGAAATGAGAACCTTGTAAAAACACAGGTACTGGTTTCATGCAGTCTTAATTCTTGAGAATTATTGTCTTAAAAACTGGATTTGGTTACGTCTTGGATTTCTTTCACAATTAAAGAAAATTAATAACATTTGTATTAACCTTGTGTAATTAAGCCTAAGGGCAATGAAAGCTTAACTTTCTGCTATATTCAGATTAGTTGCATAAAATATTTGTAAAAAAAATATTCTCATAGTTATTGGACAAAGGGAATGGGCACCCATATTAGCTTTGGGCGTGAAGAGAGAATTGGCTAGAGCCCAGTGTATTTCACGTATCAGTTTTGGTATGTGTCCAAGTTTTAGAAAGGATAGATTTGGCTTTAATCCAAGAACAAGAGACTCGAGTTTTATAAATATACTTATAGCGAGATTAGTTCTGTCTGTCTGTTTATTACTTGTATATGTAACAAAAAATTATTAACTCAAAATACCATCTCCCAGTTTTTGCAGTCTGTTATGGTTATTACATATGCATGTAACAAAAAGTAATTAACGCAAAAGAACATCACCTTATTTGTTTTATGCTAACTTGCACCATAACTTTTCGACCTTATAACTGTACTGGCCTTAAACCTGTGGAAAATACCCAAACAAAAACAGGAAGCAGACAGCGTATTTTAATTGATTTTATAACCTTACCCCAGTAGGCTTAGAATACTTTGACCTAAAAAACCAAACTGTTATCCAACAAGGAGGGGGGTGGGGGGTGGCTTGCTTTCAGGATTCTGCAAGTCACCATGTTTGTTAAATCTTGCTTGTAAAGTAACAAGTTATTACTTTCTATAAAGTAGATTACAAGGGACAATTTTCAGTAAAAGGTATAATAAATAATGTAGTTAAAAAGTAAAAGCGATGATAATCTGAATTTACCTTCGTAGAATATAATTTCCCAAGATAAAAGTAAATGCATATACTAAACCTGTATATTGACTTTACTGTGACATCAGTTCAGTATTATTATACCGATTATCAAGATTATTTGTGGTATTTTATCTATTTGTGTGTGTGTACGTACAATATTACCAAATGGATGGATGAACGAGACAACTATTAATGACCACGAAACAGGCTTCTTAACGTTAGAAAAAGCAGCTTAGTCTGAGTAGAAATTTTTTAAGAAAGCGAATATATATATATATATCGGTGACGTATTTAAAGACAAATAGTGCCTATTTCATGAAACATCTGTTTACTGCTGTATGCTTGAATTGATGAATGGTATACGTCATTATTACCCACCGCCTTTTCATATAGTTTCTAATACAGTGAATTGTGTAATGAAACAGTATTACACCGAATGGATTTTTCGTGGCTCTACTCGAATGCAGGAGTGTGTTAAGAAAGTTAATTCATTTTTCTTTAATACAACCTTGTTTGATGTATGGTAGTACAGGGTGACCAGAGTTTTAATATTTTTTACATTTATTGCCTGTATAAATTTTAATCTGATGTAATATGTGTAATTATTTCGAAGTATCTGTCGCGATGGCGAAAAACATACACATTTTAGTCACTTTAATCAAGCTTTATTGCTCTTTCCTAATGGATGTGAAATCATATAAACCGGTTAAGAAAAGCTGAAATAGACGAGAATCTTATGATTACGAGTACATTGTTTCTTTAACGTCTGCTTCACTACGTTTTGTTGCATTTGTTAATAAAGTGTATAAAAACAATGATGCCCACGAGTTATTGTGTTTTTTTAAATATTATGACACATCAAACAATTTAAGGGCAAACATTTTGAAACTGGGAAAGGTTGTAATGTCCTTTTATACAGTAAAGATAGTCTACCTTTTAGTTATAAAGTTAAAAGTAACAAAAAATAGAAATTATAGCTCCAGTAACATAGTGTGAAAAAAAGCATTATAGTTCGTAGCATTAATCATTATTTAGTAAATATTAATTATATGGAACAGTTACGTGCGTAAGCATAAGTAAATATATCTTCAAATTAAATTCAAATAACACGCGTCTCCATTGATCCAATTAATCCTGATGATGACTGACGAAACATGTTGATTGTTTATATTTTTGTGTGTGATTCTTAACTTGATTTAGGATTGATGTTTTTTATTCAGTAACTTTACACATTTACGATATAGATCTGTATCCTGCAAGTTTACAAAGGTAAAAACATTCATCTTGGGACGAGTAATTTCGTACATTTCATTTGGGGCTGTTGGATAGTTAGAATCAACAAATTAGACGGAAATGCGAAACCCTAGAACCAGAACGGTTTCGTATTGTTTTAACAAGAATAAAGTAGACTTGTATCACCATGACAACAAGCGAGATTAGTATTAGTGTCGTCCTTCTTAATCATAGATGTGATTTTAATAAGCGAGTGCACAAACATACGTGTAAAGCAACCTGTAGGGCACATTGTGTGTTTTTAACAGGGCTGACAGTTCAGCAATTTTCTACATATTGAGGTTGGGACATCCAAATTTCAAAGCAATCCAATAAGTGTACAATAGTAAAAATGTTGATCTTGGGACGACAAATAAAAGTAATCTCGTACATTTAATTTGAGACTGTTGGATAGTTAGAACTAACAAACTGGACTGAAATGCGAAATTCTGTAATATAAAATTTTCAATTTTGATTGAATTTCTTCCTCTTTTTTTATTTTCTATTGGCACCGAAAGTACGGAAAATTTATTTAATATAAAAACGTACTTAACGTTTTGTATTTTTTTCTAATTGGATACATTGATCTTTACAACCTACAATTAGGTGTCAAATTTTGTCTAAATGTAAGACACATGTGCAAAGTTATTCAACAAAAAACGTTCAATTTTGACCCAAAATTTGGCACACCTACGCAAAGTTACATGAGATATGAGTCTAGAATTTCTACTTTAGCTCCACCTATGCATTAAGGTGGACCGTTTGTAGTTTTTCGTCATTCGGATTAAAGACTGCTGATTTAGAGCAGCAAAACTATAGGGTGAAAGGTCGTGCAGATACATAGGTATTTGTTAGGCCAAGCAAACTACACAGCGTGGTCACAAGTAAATAGACACCACCTTTCCAGAAAAAATGAACTTTTTCAGCCATATTCACATGAATTGATATATTTATAATTTAATTAATATCTAGTAGATCTTCCTTTCGCTTCGTGGAGTTCGTTGATCCTTTGGGGCATCGTGAGAATCATCTCGTCAATTTTAGATTGTGGGATTTTCGCCCACTCTTGATTCAAAACTTGGAGTAGATCGCTCTTCGAAGTTGGTTTTTTGTTGTTGTTGTTTCTTGACTTGCCGGTCGAGTATGGCCCAGAGGTTTTCGATGGGGTTCATGTCAGGAGATTGGCTCGGCCAAGGCAACTTCTGGATACCATTTTCTTCCTGCCACTTTTGGGTTTTTCTAGTAGCGTGACACGGTGCTCCATCTTCCTGGAACAACATTGTGTTCTTGTCCACGAAACCCGAGAAATAAAGTGGCAAGAGTCCTTCCTCCAATATTTCGACGTATTTCGCAAAATTTATGTTCCCAACGTACTCCAC